GACAAGCACAGCAGTAGGAGCCACTCCTTCTTGTGATCCCTGGACAAGCCATTTGCAGCTTTGTCCCATGCCCCTGCCCCTCCCTCCCTGTCAAAACCTAGATCTACTCCTCCCCACACCCCTTCCCTCCCCTCTCCCTCTTCACCCCAACAGACTTACCAGCTAGATGCTGCTCTTCAATTTCCTAGGCTGACTGCGTGATTGCTGCAGTTACGCACATCACGCAGCATTTACCAGTGACATTATCAGCCACATCATTCAAAAAAAACCAGATTATAATGTCAATTTTGCTTTTATCAGTACCAATACACTATAGACCAATATATCAGTGCACCTGTATCGGTTTCTAAAGCAACAGCCTACCCAGAATAGAAGACAGCCATAGGCATACATGTCAGAGGCTGGAGAAACTGGCTGTCCCATTTTTAATTCTGGTGAAATTAAGCTCAAGGTCCCAGCTTTCATAGCATTTGCAGAGGCACGCTGATCCTAGAAGAGACAGAAGTATATCAGTCCATTTTAAATAAGACTGGAGGTATATCAAAATTACACATTGCTTCCTATTATCTTGCCCGATTACTTTGCAGCCAGTGCAAAAAGGCAAAATGCAACAGGTAGGTAATAAAAGCCTCCTTACAGTTGACACAATCCAGGAAGAAAATGAAAGCAATGCAATTACTGTGCATCACAGAAAAAGTGATGCATGAGGTTTTGCTCTCAATTCCTGAACAAGCACAATTCAAGAGCTAAAAACCCAATTATGAAAAGTTAAGAGAAAAAATCCTCAACTCTTGTGCCACAAGAGAACAACTAGAATGTTATGATTGGCATGAGGGAAAATCCAATACTTCCTTTGTTTCTGCTTTTCTCTAAGCCACCCTAAATACACAGGCAACTATGAAAGAAATAACTTAATCCAGAACCAAGAAAGAGAAGTAAGTTCAGAAAGCTGACTTGGACCAACACACACAGGACCTGCACTCTGCAAATGTCATCTACAGAGGTTGCTATATAACAACTGTAGAGATTTGCAAAGATATGCAAAGACACCTACAAGGTTCTGCCTAAATGTACAATGCTCTAGATCAGGGATGTAAAACTCAAACAGTCAGTCATATTTCCTGCCAACCACAAACTAAGCTGGCTCATGCCACTAGCACTCACCCTCATCACAAACTGTCACCAATTTTCACTGCCAGCAGTGATCAAAAGCAATAAATAAATTGGACAATGGGAAAAGGGAGCTAGAGCACATTAACTCCTAAGTGCTGCTGCCAGAGAACATGGCTGCCAACTGATTTGAATTCCTGAGAACCCGGTGTCTGGGAACTGACATTGTTCACACAGAGGTCTGGACAGAATTGTCTGTCCTCTTGGTTCCTCCAGAAGTGAACATGCTCCTCTGCCCCACAGGCCAGATGACTCCCTCCCGCAGGCTGTATTTTTTACATCCTTGTTCTAAAAGCTGAAGCATTCCCTCCCCACTCAGAGAATGTACGTTATGCACTAAAAGCACCAGATTTAGGATGTGAGAGACATGGAGTATAGACAAATGTACATTTATAGCAGCTTCAGAAGCTGCTTAGGTGTACACAAAAACTGTTACATGTGCATGGGCCCATAATGATACAAATGAGCCTAAACAAAGCAGAGTTAAAGTTGAAGCAGTTTTGCTACACTTGGATCCCTACAGGTTCATGTACATGTAACAGTTATAGTGCAACAGCAGCCAGGTGCTCCCAAGCAGCTTATATCCCTCGCTTTCTGAAGCCACTATACATGTACATTTGTCCATGCCCCTGGTTGTTACTCGCAGTTCTGCAAGCCTTCCTGCTCATCTTCTCTATGCCCGTGTCAGACTGCTTCCTTCTCATCCCATTTTGGCTGCCAATAGAAGTATTACCTGAGAACAGAACAGACAACTCCTGTTCCAAAACCAAAATGCAGCCTGTTGGGAGAAAAGTCCTAGCTCAGCCCCTGCAACCTGAAGATGCTGCACACCACATCTCCTTATGTTGCTTTTCTTTCATCTATCTCTGAAGCACTTGGTGCTGGAATGGGCCTTTCAGGCCAGAGTGCTTTCCCTAGAAGGGTCCACAAAAATATCTGCTTCTATCCCTCCCAGAGTCAGGGAGCAAAGGTATTCATGACTTAACTCGTACTGAAAAATTCTTAGTGTAACTAAGGAAACTCTTAATTAAATTTGAAAATCTGTTTCTTTACCTCTGATCTGGTGAAATCAAAATCTCCCACAAGCCCCTGCTCTCGATTCACAGCAAACACATTATTTTCGTGCAATGATCCATGCACTATATCAGCTCTGTGCAGTGTATGCAACCCACATGCCACTCCTTTCATCACTTTTAATATTTCCTAATGAAAATAAAAAAAGAATTTGGAAAGAAAGAGTAAAGCAAAAAGCCCCATCATACTTCAAAATCCAGGACAACCTCAAGTATTATGAATCCCTATACATTTATTCAGTTTCCAACATAGGTACCTTTATGAGGAGCTAAGTCACACTTTGTAAGATTCTGATTACTTGTACAGCCAGTCAAACAACACTCAATCACAGCTTGATGAATCACTGAAGTTCTGAAAAAATAACGTAATCATACCTTGGGATTTATGGATTTATATGTGGGTCATGGAAAACAGTGCAAGAGAAAAAGCCATTCCCAAAACTTACGACTACTACTTATTTGAAAAGAAGTATATAGCCTCTGGCTAGGTGGCCTTATCTATCTAAATATATATCTATCTAGATCTGCATCTATATCTATAGATCTAGACCATTTTTGCTACCTTGTTTTTCTCAAAATGACTTGCAAAATGACCACTATACACACACACATATATATAGTGTGTGTGTGTATACACACACACACACACACACACACACACACACACAGCTATTGACTGGGTATAACTAGATCTAGATGTATGCGCACATACACAGATCTGGTTCTATCTATCTAGATCCCATGTGTCTGTGCGTAAAAAAATCAGGACCTAGAAGCTTCAGTACAGAAGGCCTGTAGTATTTTAAAATTTGTATAACAGGCATAATGATTCCCGTACTTAGAAAAAACAACAACTAAAGTAGGGATTTTCAAAAGGAGCCTAAGGAAATAGGATACCCCCTGAAAGGCAGGCTCTTGGCACCTGGATACTAAATTGAGGTGTTCAGAAAAATACACACCAGCCTATACTTTCACAACACTACTCACTACTAATGGAAGTCTGTCACACTTTGTTCAATAGTAGAAGGTAATGTGAAATAAAGAGAAGGGGGTTTGCTTTAAACAATTGTCAAAAAAGACCTTGTTGAAATCCTGAATGAGTTACCTATTACTTACTTCTGAAGTCAGAGGCTTACTAGCTTGCAATGCTCCCAGACTTGCTCCTGGGTAATATGGAACCATTAGATAAGCCAAAGGATCAGACTTTAAAAAAAAAAAAAAAAAAAAAAAAAAAAAAAAA